TGTGTATGCTGTTCAGTGTCAGGAGGGTGATCAGTCTTACGTCAGGGAAACTAAACAGCCACTGGCCAAAAGGATGGACCAGCACAGAAGATCAACATCATCAGGCCAGGACTCTGAGGTCTACACTCATCTCCAGGCCAGTGGTCACTCTTTCAAGGATGAAGATGTTCACATCCTGGACAGAGAGGAACGATGGTTTGAGAGAGGAGTAAAGGAGGCCATCTTTGTGAAAAGAAACCGTCCATCATTAAACAGTGGTGGAGCCTCTGGGTTCAACTGTCCCCCTCTTACAATGCTGTGATTGCTAGTATCACTCAGCCCTCTGTGAACAGTAAACAGCCATCAGGTGCTAATGATCCATTGTTAGGCTGATGGTCCTTCTTGAGCATGTGATCAGCTGGTTCTGGTTGTCAGCAGCAAACTGGTTGATCCACTCTGAGAAGGTGCTATTTAAGAGACTGAGCTGAATACAGCACCTCAGACTGAGGAAGTCCTCAGGATGAGAGACGAAACGTTTCTACTTTGTTTGTTTGTTTGTTTCTTGATCATCCAGAGGACCCGACTTAACTTCTTAGATGTAGAAGTGTAAAGTTTGAGGGACTAGAACATATGTGTCAAATTAAAGGTCAGGGGGCCAAATGTGGCCCTCGTTGACATCTTATCTGGCCCTCGAGATTATGTTAAATGTAAACTACTTTTATCATTTTAATTTTTTTCAGTAATCTTTGATCATGATGTCAAAACTGCAGCAGAGAACGTCAAATGTTACCAAACAAACTTTTTGAGGAAACTGCAACCAAGAAAAGATGTTGGATGTTTAACTTGAGTTAATGTAAATTCTGAAACCGGCCCTTAGTTTTTAAAAAGTTTTAATTTTGGCCTCTTTTTGCAAGTCGGTTTGACACCCCTGAGAGGTCCTTTTCAAAGATTTTTTTAAAGTTTAAACTTCATAAAAGTTGAACATTCTGTGGGAAAGTCTCTAAAAACTATAAAACTTAAAGTGTGATTGTTAAAACAGTTAAAAATGTTAAAATGCCAGATCTGACATATAAAGTCCAACTTTGTGTGTCCTGTTTAAATGATGTTTCCACTCTGAAGTTTGTCTGAGATGAACACGGCTGGATTTGATTTCGTGTCACTCGTACAAATTGTTGCTACCAAAAGTCCTAACCAACTATTGCCAATGGAGCTGCACGTCCTGATTTATATTTGACCTGGGTTTTTCTGAACTGTGGCACGAATAGTTAACCAAACATGAGACAAACTGAAGAAGAAGTAACAAATGCTAATAAGTTCTTCAGTGGTTCTACATTTATGTCTCTATTGATTTGAATCCAACAACAAACTTGGTTTAAAGAACATTTTGTTCAACACACTGAACATTTTGTGGTTTCATGGATGGACTAACACAAAAA